TATTTAAATATGAATTTATATGCTCAGTGGCAAGGTTTGATTCTTCACACTATTTGTACCCGTTCCCATTCTTACAACAGGTTCCCCATGCAGAATACGGCGCAATGTGTATTGTTATTTAATTTACAATTTATATTTATTCTCGTTACATGCGGATTGGCACATGTTTTGGGGCAGGCGGCACTTTGCTATCTGTATAGATTATTAAAATTGGAATGGATAATCTGTTTTCTAAACAAACTTCGCATTTAGAAACCATGTCAGAAACATTCTGACTGATGCCGGGCCAAAACATCACATCGCGACCCAATTTACGACATTTTTCAATACCTAAATGTCCTACATGAACACGTTTCAACATTTCTCTTCTAAGAGATGGTGGAATAACAATGGTTTCGCCTTTCAAGACAAGTTCGTCTGATACAGAAAGTTCATCTCTGTACTGCCAGTATTCACTAATATTAGCAGGTAATATCCATTTACTATCTGGAAACCCTGAAACAATACCTTTTTGTAGATCATGTAATTCAGTCTTCGTAGCTTCACATATTTCGGCTAGTTTGACATCTGTAACCGGCAAATGTGATATACTATGAATAAAATAATCCATCTCACTATCCAGAATTTCTTCACTACTGCTTTCTGTTAATGCGTCTCTTGATAACGTATCTGCTACTATCAGCCGCTTTCCTGGTTTGTACTGTAATGTGAAAGTATACCTCTGCAGTCTAAACAACATGCGCTGAAGAATTGGTGGCACTGCTGAAAGCGACTTCTTCAAAATAAACTGTAAAGGTCTATGGTCATTTTCAACTACCACTTCTTTGCCATAGGTATATGTGTGGAATGTGTGGAATCTTCCTCTATCTGTGCATAACGCGTCTCGACGTCTGTCATGGACCTGGAAGCGTATGCGATAGGATGCCCCTCTTGCTGCAAGACTGCGCCTAATCCACATTTAGAAGCATCACAACTTATGGTGATTGGTTTTGAAACATCAAAATACTTCAATACTGCACCTGGATCACGTGTAAGTATATTTCTTTTATTTCAACAAAAGATTTCTCTTGTTCGTGTAACCATATAATTCCACATCTTTCTGCGGTAATGACCTTATTGGCCAAGTTATGGAAGACATATTGGGTACAAATTTGGCCAGATAATTTACTGTTCCTAAAAGTCTTTCAACACCTTTCTTGTCAATTGGTGGTGGCATTTCCGATATGGCTTTGATTTTGCGCGGATCTGGCTTTATGCCATCAGCTGTAAATTTATGACCTATATAACTAACCTCGCATACAAAGAAAACACATTTATCAATGTTTAAAGTCAAGTTAATTTGCTTACACCGATTCAAAACCAACTTTAGACGTTTTTCAAGTTCAAGTCGGGTTTCTGCCCAAATCAAAATATTGTCAATGTCAGTTTCTACACCGGGTAAATCAAAGAAATGTTCAGCTATTCTTTTTTTAAATACTTCTTGCACAGATTTGATGCCAAATGGCATTCTACAGAAACAGTATCTCCCGAATGGCGAATTAAAACATTAGTAAGAAGTTGACTTGTTTTGTTGTATCTAAGGCGATCTGCCAGTACCCACTATTAGCATCTAGTTTAGCTAACCACTTAGCCTAGTAATATCTTCAATAGTTGTTAAATCAAAATGCTCTCTTTTGATTGTTACGTTTAAATGTCTTGGGTCGAGGCATACGTGAAGTTGACCATTCGGTTTTTCAACAACAACAAGTGAGTTAACCCAGTCGGTTGGCACATAAACTTTTTTGATGATACCCTTCTTTTACATATCACTCAGAGTTGCTTGCAGTTTTTCACGAAACGCGACTGGAACTTTCCTGACAGGATTTATCACTGGAATTACCAACGGGTCAATTCCAATATGATATGGTCTCTTTAAACAACCTAAACCATTGAAAACTGTAGGGTACTGTTTAACAACATTAGCTTTAATGTTTAATTCAATATTATTGTCAACATTCATAATCACTTTAATTAAACCCAGTTCTTGAGACGCCCTAATCCCCAGGAGTGGAGATTGGTTAGTTTCTGTTACATAAAACTCAAGGTTCTTATTTTCTACTTTTTATTGGCATTTAAACTTCACGGATAGTGGATTCCCTGTGTAACTGGTTAAAGTGGACATCAATGGTTGTTTAAAAATATTTCCATTGTCTATTTTCTTGAAAATATCAACAGGAAGTATGTTGGTCTGATAAACCCTGTCAGGAAAATCAAAGCCATATCGGAAATGCCACCACCAATTGACAAGAAAGGTGTTGAAATACTTTTAGTAAACAGTAAATTATCTGGCCAAATTTGTACCCAATATGTCTTCCATAACTCGGCCAATAAGGTCATTACTGCAGAAAGATGTGGAATTTATATGGTTACACGAGCAAGAGAAATCTTTTGTTGAAATAAAAGAAATATACTTACACATGAACAAGGTCCAGTATTGAAGTATATTGATGTTTCAAAACCAATCACCATAAGTTGTGATGCTTTTAAATGTGGATTAGGCGCAGTCTTGCAGCAAGAGGGGCATCCTATCGCATACGCTTCCAGGTCCATGACAGACGCCGAGACGTGTTATGCACAGATAAAGAAAGCATTACTTTCAATTCTTTTTGGCCTAGAAAGATTCCACACATATACCTATGGCAAAGAAGTGGTAGTTGAAAATGACCATAGACCTTTACAGTTTTGTTTTTTGAAGAAGTCGCTTTCAGCAGCACCACCAAGGCTTCAGCGCATGTTGTTGAGACTGCAGAGGTATACTTTCACTTTACAGTACAAACCAGGAAAGCAGCTGATAGTAGCAGATACGTTATCAAGAGCCGCATTACCAGAAAGCAGTTGTGAAGAAAATCTTGATAGTGTTACGGTCCGAGAACACACCCATCATATTATATATTTTATTATTATTAAATTATTTATTGTTTCATCGGGAACATACCCATGTAGTGCATTATTTGTCATAAAGTATTTGTATTAGAACGTGCCTTTCTTTGTTAATGGATTCACTGGTTTGTTTACCTTTACGAACTTGTTCTCCCCCGCGTCACAAATGGACTGCGCCATTTTGTTCCACGCTGTTGTCTTCACTGGCTGCAAGTAGCCGATAATCCCTCATAGCTCCGTACAAATGAAGTGTCATGAAGCAATGAGTGCATGGGCTACAGTATTAAACCCAATTATCGATATCTGCATATAAATAAATATATTTCTGCCTCGAGTCTTACCGTATTTTCGATTGAAACATTGACGAGCTAACCGTCCGCCAAACGGCAAGCGCTAGACTGTTGGTCAAGTGATACTACGTTGGGGTTAATATGACGTCAAAATTTGGTGACGTATTATGGCGCGCTGTACGAATCATTCCTGTTAGTTGGCCTTCGCAACTCACTGTGTACAGACGTGTTGGTTTTTTTGGAGTCTTGGGAATATGGCTCAAGCTTCCTGCAATATGCCCTCACTGGTAAGGAATTAATTGTATTGTAATAGGTTGTGTAACCTGTGCCTGTTGGGGAGCCCAATTAAGCTTCTTGTGATTTATAATAATAATTTCGGTGTTTACCGACATTATTACCGTGCCTTTGACTTTGTTTGTCCTTTGACCTCCAAGTCTAACTGTGAGTTGACGTACACCTATCTTGCCCTTTTTAGCCAAGGTGTTTTGCAATATTAACATATAGAACATTGAGATATAATTGATTAACCGGCTTTGCCTGTAGAACCTAAAGTGGTATTACAACCAGTCATTGGTACTTCAAAACCTGGTGTTTCAAACCGAATCTGGTGCATGCCTGTATGATCTGGGTGCCTGGAACCGAATCTGGTGTTTTGAACCTAATCCGGTGCACAAGATAACAGCTGGGTTTGACCAATGTTCCCTACTATAATAAGAAAACAACTGTAATTTTTTGTTTTTATTCAACAATTGGGATACAATATTCAACATGTTTTACTTGGCACAACCAAGCCCCGGTTTCACAAAACATTCTCAGTCTTAGTGAAGATTTTACTCAAAATTGTTCACATTTTCATAAAACTTTTGTCTTTTTAATGTATCAACATATACAGCAATTAAAAATTTTTTTAAAAAATATGTGCAGAGTTTTGTTTCTGAATCATAAACACTCATTGAAAGTTGAGGAATTCTAAGTCTGAGAATGCTTTGTGAAACTGCAGGCAGAAATTTCTTGTAGCATAATAATTTAATTAAACTTAATCAAAACTTGACATTCTGTTGATTTACAGATTATAGAAAGAAAGAGGCTTATTTTTCACAAACCACAACTTTTAACTGAAGATTAAAACATTATAATTGTCAAAACAATACAACAATAAAGGTTTTACAGACCACGATCATACATCTAATCATTAACACGTTTTGGCACCTTGTGTTCTAAATCGTTTAGTGCATGATTCACATACAGGATGTTCATCACCCTCACAAAGTTCTAGAGAATCTCCACAAACGGAGCAACAAGGAGGAAAATTGCGCCTTTTACTGTAGAATAATTGTCAAAACAACAATACAATGATAAAGGTTTTACGGACCACGAAACATGCATCTAACCATTAACGCGTTTTGGCACCTCGTGTTCTAAATCGTTTTAAATTAATACATGTACATGATTCACATACAGGATGTCCATCACCCTCGCAAAGTTCTAGTGAATCTCCACAAACGTAGCAACAAGGACGAAAATTGCTCCTTTTACTGTAATAATGTATGCAAATGTCATTATCACAAGATACTTCATCTTCACATAATAAAAAATTTACGAACGCAGGACTACCACAACTGTATAGAATATCTTCGGTTGTCTTTTCTAAATGTAAAGATATAAAAAAAATAAAACAATCAGGTTTAGTATTTTCTTGCATGGCTTAACTTTAATTTGTGATACATTAAATGCAACATTAAAAATATTTTTAAATTATTAAATACTGTACCTACTTAAAATTCAATATTATTAAAACTAAATTGGAAATTATCAAAAGACAAGATATTTAATATACACATCAGTTGTAAAAATTGTTGACCCCAATCAACAGAGTGACACTAGATGCTCAGGAAAGGTGAACAGATACTGCTTTAACATTCCCACACACAGGGTTAATTTTGGTCATCGAGAATATCAGAAGCCATTTGAGAGGTTCATTTATTTACATATATATATATATATTACCTTTACTTGCTGTTCATATGATAATTTTCTAGATGAATAAAGGCATCGTGACTTTCCACACATGTAGCATGATATGAAACTTCTAACAGTTTCTGCCGACTTTCTACATTCTATAGGTTGTGGATCATCTTGTACTTTTTCAGGACCTGGTAACTTTCGCTATTAAATTATAAAAGAATAAATGATGTACTATTAAATATTTGTTACAACAATAACTATCACCATAGTCTACCTGTCGCACAGAGTTTACAGACTACATACTTGTCTATCATTTTGATGTTTTTATTTAGATTAACCGAACACTGATACAAAATATTACTTTTATCATTAATAATTTTAACAAATATTTTTTGTCATAGTATATATTGTGTTTTGTTACTTTTGAAAAAGAGGACATATAATATAAAATATTTATAACCTTTCGAGATTTAGTTTTCTTTGATATACCACTGTTCTCTTTCATGCTTGGTCGATGAGTCTCTGAGGTACAAGTACCCCATACAGATTCAAATGGTTTGTAGTGGGTCATATCCACATCTGGAATTGGGTCTGGCAGAGGATCTAGCTTTTCAAAATAAGGGATTTGTGGGGGAATTTTTGAACAGTAATCACAGTTTACAATATTTTTGCACTTCTTAATACACAGAAAATAATGTCTTACAGTACAATGTGTACCCATAAATTTGATTTGGATAATTCTTGAGATAACACTTTTGTAGTTTTGTTACATCCACATTTGGATCTAAGTCAATTATTGTTTTAATAGTTTTCTCAATGCTCTTGGTAGTAGCAGCTTTGGTTACCTGGACAGTCTCAGTCTCTGGAATACAGAATTTAACAAATCAATGGGTGCTTGCACACTTTTCTCCATTTTTTCCTTGATAACTCCTGACTGTTCAGCTACCTTTCGGAGAGCTTTCAATGAATTCGCTTTTGCAATTTGTTTTTCACCTTCTTCGTCCATTTTTTCACGGCAAATGCTTACAGCCTGAAGACCCAAATTTAATGTTGCAATACATCTTTCAACTGGATTTCTGAATGACTGCAGAGGGGCTGTCCTGGCTGCCACAAGCATATCTAAATTAATTGTAATAAATAATGCCATGAGTGAAACTTGTACAGATAAATAAGTAATTCTATGATCTGGTCCACCATCAGAACATATCCCGAGTATTGGTTTAACATTTCCAGTAGTTTGAAGTAGGTTTATCAATTCAGTTGAATGACGGAAAGGAGTGTTTGTTTGAAAAACTTGATCCTTAACACCAACAAATAATGTCCCATTATAAAAGGAGCCACCAATATCTTTTGGGTATATCTATTAGAAGAACAGCGGACGGAATCAGTTTAAACTTGGTAAAATCGTGATCCGATGCACTGAATATTTGACTGTCTCCTTCAACAATATTGGGTCGCCCTCTCGGGCACATGTGACTGGTAAACCTGGTTCTCCTACTTATACGTGGCACTTGTCATCAATAGAAATGAAAGAACTAAAATCACGAAATTTAAGTAAAAATTCGCGTAAATGTCAAAATACCATATTAGAATAATGAGCATCCTCATGCTCCCCTCGCAGATGACTTGTTTGGATCCTATATCTTAAATTAAATCTACCCGCATAGTGAACTGATGAATGGAAGTGTTTGTTTTTCGACCAAAATTGAAGTCGCAAATATGATTCAGACGGTATAGGAATATTTGGGTCTAGATCTTTTGACACTTGGTTTATTAAATCTCTGACGGAACAGCAAGTCTTCCAATAGTTTTGTGTCTTCTTTCATGAGCAGCATTCAGGGTTGTTTTATTTATGTAACTGTCAAGAGCTTCAAAAAAAGGGTCATACTTCCTGATTTGTACAAAATTAAGTTCACGAAGATCAACAGCCATATCTGGATTTTCGCAATCAAGATATAATTTTAGTCTATTCTTGACTTCGCTAGTGATTTTGGTTTGGTTTACAGAACAGTCACCTGTCAGATCTTCATATAGCTCCTTCATCACTGTCCCTATATTAAATTTCTTAGGATGTTCAAAGATTCGACCATAATGATCCGTAAACTTTCTTTTCATAGCCCTACTATGGTACATTTTCAAATGCTTTTCTTCAATTGTTTTACAAAGAGCAACAGATTTAGACGTATCTCTGTTAGCGGCAGTGTTAGGCACTTTCCATATGAACCAAATTTTTTGATTCCCTTGTGTACACGAGAGTATTTCGTTCATATGTTAACGGTAATGTTAAATCACTAATATATTTTGATTTGAGTTTTATATCATAAGGAGCAAATTCATCAATGCACACTGGTTCATAGTCTAGTTTTACTAGAAGTTTATTTTCAAGTTCTCTGTATCTTTGAATTAAAGAATTCAAACACACTATAGTTATCAAGAGATCTCGCTAGATCAGAGATAGATTGACAGAAATTACAAAATCTTTCCAATTGAAAAGCTGGAATCAAGGATATTTCAAACAGTTTGTTGGAATACTCATGTATAGTACTTTGTTTCAACTGTTTTACAGCATGCTTGCTTTGTTGAGGTTGGTTATATGTTTGTGAAGACAAGTTCATAGGATCAGTTACAAAGTTTTTAACAAAATACTCAGGTATTTGTGAGAATTTATGTAAATGTGGCAAAATATAATATAGTACTGTTGTTAATACATTTACACATGTTGTGCCCTGAACAATAGTTGAAGGCGTAAAAAACAAATTATCCCTCTCCATAACACTGACAATGTCATTAAATAACCCAAAGTTAGAGTGGTTCATACTCAATTTTTTAACAACAAACACACACTATTTCGGGATTATTTTAACATTATATGATAAGACTTAACATAAAAACTTCATTTATCAACAATGGAAGTCTGACAACATTTGATTTTTGAGGATATAACCATTTGCAAATATGTTATAAATGCCTCAAAATCTACCCGTCTTCCATAATCAAGGCAGATAACTCTTAGTAAGAATAAGAGTTATGTCCCTTGGTCGCGGTAAAAATGGTACGGAAGCCCCTGAAACGAAATTTCATTATCGCAGTCGGAAAACATCGTTTATTTCCTTGCTGCGAAGTAACAGAATACACTCTATGAGACGATTGAATTTAACATGTGTACGCATGCGTAAACGCTTAGTTGTTTTAACAATATATCCACGCCTTCACATGTCTTAATATTAACTGTTTATAATGCTACAGTGAAAATTAAAATACACGTTTAGCTGGATATGAAACGATCGACATTCGACATGAATTGTTTAAAGATTAGCCAAACATATGTATTAAAAAGAACAGTGCTTTCATTTCTGTATACCCACAGACACCGGGTCTGTTTAAAATGGCATGTTATATACAGACGGAGCGAGAGAGAGACGTCTATAAATCTAATAATATAACACTTTAATGTTAATCCCAAAGATAAATAAATATATTGGGCAGCATGATATTTGTTATGAAAAATAAATTGTCGGATGAAGTACGAGGAAAATATAATGGCATGTAATACGGAGATTGAGGGATAAAGACCTCTATAAATCTATTAATTTAACACTTAATTTTTTGTCCCACAGAAAAATAAATATATTGTGCCGTATGATGTTTGTTATGAAAAAAAAAAACACATTGCCGGATAAAGTATGGGGACGATTACAAATACAATAAAGATAGAGATTCAGGGAGATTTGAATTCGAATTTGGTATAGTGGGGAGTGGTAAATGCAACATAAAAGATAATATATTAACAACAAATTCAAAATTAGGACCACGTTCTCTCGTGTGGTATGCTAGCATTTACACTCTAATATTTATCACTGAGAAGTAGTAAGAGTGAGATTTGTACGTTTAGGGCATAGATATCTCCCGATTTGGTAAATTTCTATGAATATCGGTAAAATTCTAATTATCGCAACAAATCTAATACGAAGGGGCTAAAATCTGTAGGTACGGTGTGTTAATTAACAGGGGTGAAAATCTCGGCGACAGTGTGTTTTCTGTACCGGTGTGTTAATTAACGAACGGGTTAAAAACGACTGACACGGTGTGTATTCTTTGTTTGGTGAGTTTTCTCGAAAGTGTGTTATAACTGCACCAAAGGTGTTTTATCAAGGACCAACAGGCTTTATCTGACGCGTAGGTGTTAAATCCAATTTACCGTGCGATTTCTTGTTTCCGTGTGTTTTAAGCAGATCGGTCTTTGTTAAGTGTAGGTCTTTATACATGGATTTATACGTGCTGTAGTTACATTTGTTCGTTCTTATACGTATTTCATTTCTTGGTGAATACTACATGTTTTATACTTCGTACCATAGTCGGGCTGCAATTATTTATATATTTGTCTTTTTTGTGGGTTTAATTTGTTTATATATTATCGTGCGTACCACTGAAGTATAAATGCACGTTATTTACCGATAACCGGACCAGCCTCCATTGATATCAGACTAACGAATCTGTTTCGAAAACCAAGTTTATAAATATAAAATCGAGCAATTGATGAAAAACTATTGGTTTCGTCATGTCTATATTTACTACATGTGGGCGTTTTAATGCATAAATGTATTGTTTCTTACCTGGGTTGTAAAAAGGACTATCCAAGAAAAATTTAATTTCCACATATATATCAAATAATAATTCACATATCAAATAACACTAATGCAAATAGGGACATGCGCCGGCGGTGATATTGTCCATTGACCTTTGACTTAATATGGAAATAGAGGCTTTACAAGAACAGCTAATTTTAAACACTTGTTAATATTTCTATTGTTTACGATTGTATGAATTAGCTTTATTATTTTTCTCCCGGTACTAATAAACTATGGGTCAAGTGGATCCAATTTTTATTATGTGATTTATCAACGTGATGACAGATCGAGAGCATGGGCTCCATGTATCTATTTATAAAAGCATGCAATCACCTTTGGGAATCAGCTTCCAGTCTAAAACGACTTTAAAATCTCTTTTGTTATTTCGGCCGCTTTATTTGAAAAGATTTTCATAATATGCCGTAGTAATTTGTCATTTTGTTTTTATTGTTAATTCTGTTTAATTGTGAACATTTCGAAATCTAAATATTTAATATTTATTCTTGGGTACGGGTTTAGAATAGTGTTATAGCATGATTTATTTGTTAAAGATCTGTTAATTCTGAAACAACAATTTATTGCTGTAGTGATCAATTTCAACATTTTCACTATAGATGTATTCTAAAGTCATAGTTTTAAACTTAAATAGCTTCATTTACAATATTTCCGGCCATATATTATGCTAAATTGAGTCCCATGTCATAAGTCTTCAACTTTTAGAACCGTCCATAGCACACATTATGTCCAGAATTTGACGTTTTAACAGCTTAATTAATAAATTTGTTAAAGAAAACTATTTCAGAACAACAATAATTTCTTATACACCTTTGATGTAATTAATTGTTCGTTTGACAAATTACGGTTTTGAAATAGGATACACAACACATCTATATTAATTTACAGGGTCATATTTTGAATTTTAATAAACCAAGGTTCATTCAAGAAAATTATTGTTGTGTTCTGATAAATTAAGTGTACCTGGGCCCTGTTTCTCAAAATCTTAACTAAGATAAAACACATTCACTAAAATTGTTGAGCTGGGGCAATAATTAATTTATTACCCCTAATAAAGTCTGACAATTAACAGTTGTTATATAACATCTAGGTCAACGGTGATCC